CACAGATAAAAATATAAGTTAAATTCTTTAACTTTAAGTTCTTACAGATGAGTATAAAGTATATTATCTTAATAAAGTAATTCACTATCATCAGCACACTGTTAAAACAGATATTATATATATTCTTACTTTCAGAGAGATCTATAAGAGTATTTATTTCTAGCTATTTTCAAGATTTCTATGAAATGAGTAGAGAAGTAAGTTCTTCATATAATCTGAATCACACTATCTATGAACTCTGATAAATAGTATAAGAATTTACTATTTTCTTCATAAGTTCTTATATCTTCAGTTAGAAGTATTTTCTTATAAGTAACTCATGAGTTCTAGTATCTATAAAATAACCTGTTAGAGAAGAGTTATAATATCTTTTAATAAGTTCTATACATAGAAACTTATTCATAGATATATAAATTCAGTTCTCTCTTTATAAGAGATTATTTAAGTCTCTTTAATTCTTTATTTCTGTAGAATTGATCTCTGCTGTGAGTAGTTTCTGAATATACTGAGTATATTCATTCTTCAGTTGCAGTTCAGATAATCTGAATAGAAAATCTTATAAAGACTTATACTCTATTTTCTTCTGTATTAGGTCTTTCACAGTATTTCTCAAAATCTATAAATTCTTCAGATTATAGATACTCTCTTCAAGAATTCTCACAGAGATTTTCAGAGTGTTAACTCTCAGTATTATAGAGAGTAGTTGTATAGACTTCTTCTCTTTTTTCTCTCTCTTCTCTCATAGAGAATTAAGAGACTTTTTAGTTAATCTCTTTATAACACTTAGTTCAAGTATTCTATAAAGCTTTTCTATCTTCTCTAGTCTCTCTATATCTGTCATTCTGATCTTTTTAATATAGTCTGATCTGTAAGAGAGTCTGTTCACTGAGTTCTTAGTTCTCTTAATATATTCTATCTTAAATCAGAACTCACTCAGTCTCTGAGCTCAGTGAATCTGCTACTGTGAGAGTTTCTTGATTAAAGTAAATTATTATAAGCTATTATAATCAGTTCTAATAGTAATCACTGTTATAAGATTCTCAAAGTAGTGATATCAGTGATAGAAGAATTTCACTATTATAAGAAGCTTCTAATTATAAATATCATAGTTAATCTCTACAGATTGTATCTTTCATAAGAAAAAGATTACTGAAACTCAGTTCTTATTTAACTGTAGTTACAAGACTATTTCTGAAATTATAAACAAGAAGATATCTATCTTTAATCTGATTAAGAGTAAGAAATTAAAGTGAAACAGTATCACTGTGTCTATGAATATCTATTTTAATCTTATAAAGATTTTATAAGCTTCTGAGATAAAAAAGCTCTTACAGCTCTCTCTTCTTAATAATCTTTTCATTCTCTATTTATAGAATGACTTCTTCTTATTTTCACTCTTCAGTATATCTATAAGAGTTAAGAAGATTCTTATGAATATAAAGATAAATTATCTATAGAAATTTATAAAGCTCAGAAAGATCTGAATCTTATAAATACTAGTTAACTCTGATTGTAATAGAATAGTCTTAATTTATAAAGATTTCATCTGAATATCATCTGCAGTGATTATATATTCTAGAAAATTAATTTAACAGACACTGAAGTTATACTTTATAAGCTTAATATACAGTTTTATCTCATCTAAGATCTTCAATATACTTTGTATATACTCAGTGTGTTCTTTCTTCTTTATAGAGTATATTATCACATTATTCAGATATATTATTATGAAGACATTCAGATATACATGAAGTATTTTATTAATAAAAGACTGAAATATTATAGAAGTATTAGTTAAATTAAAAGATATTACTAGATATTCAAACAATTTCAGTATAGTTCTGAAGATAGTCTTTCATTTATTCTCAGACTATATTTACAGCTGTGTATATATATTAATTATATTCAGTTATATGAATATAACAGCTCTCATGATATGATTAATTACATTCTTAATTAGAGATAGAGAATAGTGACTCTTTATTATCTTGAAATTCAGATTATAATAGTCTATATACAATCTGAGATCTTCATTCTTCTTCTTTATAAATATTATAGAGACTTCTACAGAGATCTGTGAAGATTAAATAAAGTCATTCTTCAGATTCTTCTTTATATAGATCTGTAAGATCTCTGTCTTGTAATAAAAGAGTTTATAGATTAATTCTTGAAAGAGTTTCTACTCTTCTATTAAATTTATTATCAGATTCTTCTTATAGTGAGAAGAAAGCTCAGCTGTCTTTACTAAGCTGAATATCTCTGTAAAATCTCAGTATTTCTCTGATATCTGAAGCTTAGTTTTCATGACTGTGAAGTTCTCAGACATTTATAAAGTTATTATATAAATGAGCTTGTCTTCTCTAAGAAACTTTACAGTATTAACTGATTCTATCTCTATAAGTGAGTCTGTTAACACTGATCAGAAGTATAAATCTGACTCATGAACAGCTATATACAGATTGTATCTTTAAAGTTATATAAGTTTTAAGTATATATTATCTGTGATATCTGTAATAATTACAGTTTCTGTAAATCTTCTTCAGATTCTGAAGAGATCTTGTAATTTAAAGATGACTTTTATAAGTTCTTCAGTTCTCAGATCTGAGTTCTCACACTCTGCTTATTATAAGAGCAGATTCTCAGTTTTTATCACTCAGCTTATTCACTTTATAAGCTTTAGAAACACTACAGTGATCTGAGATTCTAAGTTTATTAATACTTTTTATACTTGCAGAGTAGCAGTACTGTGATGTGATCTCTTCTTATAAGTAAGTATTTTCATTGAAGAAGTAACAGATTCAGGTATCAGTTTCAAGACTCTTAAGAAGACTGTTACTAACTCTGTTTATAACTTCTGAAATTTCTATTTTAATTTATTCAGACAGTTTATATGAAGATATTCTAATTTAAAACAGATAAAGCAGAGACTCTTTTTCTTAATCTCTCTATTATATACTCTATTTATAAGAGCTTATGAAGCTCTCTCTTTCTACTCAGCAGTTAGATATGAATCTCTCTATATCTTATTATCTTTTTCTAATAAATCTGTTCTCTATTATTCTGACTCTTACAGAGCTGATTAGTAATTCACTCTTTATAGATCTATGACTCTTACAGTGATCTGTAAGTAATAAATAAGAGTTATTAGTTTCTTCAGAGTCAAGAGCTTAGAGTCTTATTTAATAAGCTTATTCTATATATCTTTATTCAGTCTCTTTATAAATATCATTATTCAGATCTTATTTCAGAGTTTTATTTTCACAGATCTCAATTCATATTATAATTTTATAAAGTACTGTAAGTAATCTTCATCAGATTTCTTATCTCTTTTTCTAATATTAATGATTATAACTCAGATATTCTCTATTCAGCTCACAGAGTCTTTTAACTTATTCTTTAGATAGATCTTGAGAACAGATTAGTGAGATCTCTTGTAATTATTCTCTAGATAATTCAGTCAGTTCTTGACTTCAGTGTAGTAGAGATCTATTATTATATAAATAACAGCTTCTTCATCTTTTATATCACACAGCTGAGCTTGTAAGTCAATTTTAAATACAAACTTATAAAAGCTTTTATAGATTATAATTCAGTAAGTAATCTTAAGTGATTATAACTTAAGAAAGTTTCTTTTTAATTCATAGATATCTCTGAAGATTATGTCTAGAGACTCAGTTCAAGAGTGTTTACAGATAGTAAGTATTTCTTATAGAAAAATAACTTGATTCTGTAAAAGATGCTCAAGAATGTTCTTTACTAAGATTGATTTATTTATAAGTTTGAAGAGTTTCTCTGTCACAGATATAGAGAATGATATTCTGTGAGTAATTGATAAGTTCTCTGAAACTTCTTTTATAAAAGTTATTCATGATTCAGATGACTGCTTCTGAGTATCTGTAGTAGAGTTCATAGAAGTTGAAGTATACAAGTTTCTAGTTCTTTCAGTTATAATAGACAGTTGCTGACTGACTAAGCTTGAAATGTAAGAATAAGTGCTTACAGATAATTATTCAGATGTTTACAGCTTGATGTGATATATACTGTTAATTACTAGAAGTATTCACAGTAGAAAGATAAAATATAGAGATTAAATATATAATAGTATTCAAGCTGAGTTATGAAAAGTATTTATGAACTCCAGTCTATATAGTTGTATGTAGTCAAGGGCCGCTAACTCTATTAATTACGCAAGAGATAGGAATAGAAGTAAAGAATCTGCAAGAAGCGGGATTTCTTACAAAATTTCAGTTATATATCTGTTATCATAGAGGTCTCTGCAGAATTCATCTTATTCATGTTAAAATCTTCAAGAATCTTCTCAATATAACAGCTCTGTGTAATTACTAGATTATCATTTCTCTAGCATTTGATCTTCATTCTCAGATAAGATTTATTCTGTTTGACTTCTTTTATCTTAAATCTTTTTCTGATTTTCATTTAAATTCACTCAATTTCACTCTCTTCAGACCTTGTGATTTGACAGTCATTGACATGTAGTATTAAGAATAACTTGTGAATTGAATAATAAAGAAATTCATTATTATAAGATGAGATCTTAAATTCTAGATTCATCAAGTATTCTGTTGTAAGAAAATATCATATTCTTACTATCTATTTCATTTTATATAAGCTCTGACATACAAGCTCTACTAATTTATCACAATCATACTTGATCTCTGTAAGTAGTTACATAAATATCATCTCATTCTGAGGCAATATCTCATTTAAAAATGCAGATATATAGTCAATTGATCTTGTGATTCAAAGATTGCTTAAGCCAGCGTACAATTACAGACGTACGCCGGCTTCTTATATATTATACACTAAATTAATTAGTGGCCGCTATGGCCTCTTTACATTTGTAAGCAAGTTCAGAAGCGGCTGTGTTATTATTTAACAGTTATATATTCTTTCAAATCACATTCTCTCTTATCAGATTCAGTCACACTTATGTGATCATAATATCTGTTCTAGCTTCATGTGAATTAGTATGTCACTAGTGTTCACAATCATGTAATCTATTTCTGATTCAGCTAGTGTTCTATGAACACTCTCACAAAGAAACTTTCACTATATTACATCACTTATTTACTAACTTTTCTCATTCTTCAATCATCTTCTTCATCATCATCATCATTGAATATTATTATCATCTTATTCAAGATTACTATCTCTTCTTCTATTCAACACCTTTTATCTGTTTATCTATTACATTATACACATTTCTGGTGATGATCTCTCATTCTTATAACAAGTGTCATCATAGTGCTTATACTGAGCAGTTTATTAGCAGTAAGTGTAATATGTTATGAAATGTATATAGTCAGAACTTGTTTATCTTCTAATAATTATTAGAATGTATTATCATGAATAACACATCTTCTTTATCTTCTTATACACTCTTAACTGTTTTTCTTCTCAGTAGATTTCTGATCATGTTTTCTAGCACAATTTTGCATAAATGCAGATGCTGATATATTTGTTTTTATTTATATAGAATTTTCACATGTTAACAGATCTGTATTCACTGATAATAGTGAACTTAATGTTGAATCATTGATCAAGAACTTGAAAAATATGATAATGAAGAAATTATCTATATTATATATAGCTGAGTCTTTCATATCTCTCTCTGTCTTCTCTGTTTCTTTCTCTGCTACTCTCTTTCAATCTTCTACACCTGTCTCTGTGTCTGATTCTCCTGCTCTCACTATCTCTATTTTCATGACTTCTACTTCTGCTACTTCTGTTCTTTCTGATTCTGCTGTCTCTGCTTTCATTATCAGCTCTCTCTGTTTTAAGAAGATGTTACATAGACTTAATGAATTACATTTCTCAGTGTGTACACTCTCATTCTTCTTATCAACTTCTAGAATGATTTATTATATAAAGACTGTGTATAACACAACTATCTGAAGCTTGATTACAGACACTGATTATTACATTCATTTTAAATATTTATAATAAGATAATTATTTATTTATATTAGAGAATCACTTTCTCTCTTAACAGTATTGAAATTATAAGTCTTTTTCTTTTCATCTTTTCTTTCTGATACTGATTTTTCTATTCTTAGAGAAAATTATTATGAGTTTTATTATGTATGAAGTCATAATATTCACAGATATCAAGAAACTTTTTACAACTGTAAAGTTTAATATTACAGAGATATTTACTCTAATGAATTTCTTCAGAATAATAGATCTGTATCAGTCTATTCTCTAGTATCTGTTGTCTGACTTCATGATGCAGGCAAAAGATATTCATGTTTTCAGAAATGAGAATGTAAATGTCATACTCTTTTACACTTACAGATATGAGGCTCATACATCTTATCTGAGATATTGTTATAAGAATGAGCTATTCACACACTGTGTTCTGCTTTCTGCATTTCTCTGTATCTCTCTCTCTCTTTCTGAGAAGTCTTGTATATGTTGTAATTGTATGTACAACTCTAAGATCAGTAGATGTTTATTTGATAACTGTTCTCATTTCTGATTTTACAATTTTTATACATTAATAATGATTCTTAGTTGCTCTGATGTCAGAGATCATTCTAATTGAAGATAATAACACTGTTAAGACTACTCTCTTCTGCTCTCAAGCTTCTTCTGTCACTTTCTCTCTCTTCTCTGTGAAGAAGATTATATATATACTGAGTTATAAGTATTCAGCTCTGAATAACTTCTGCTGTTATTTATTCAGTTCTGTATCTTCTTCTTCTTTCATTTCTTCTGTCTTCATTCTCTCTACTCTGACTTCTGATTCTGCAGATCTCATGCTCTTCTTCAATTTTTCTATACATATATATACACATTTCTATATTGGCATTCCAGTCAATCTTGTGATAAATGACATTAATGTCATACACAGAGTGATAGAGAAATTGAAGACATATACAGTGTTATTGCAAGAGTGACTTACAGCTCTTGAATTTCTTACAGATCTTGAGTTTTAAGATTTCCTTTGTTTTTTGACATTTTTCAGATAGTGTGACATTGAAAATAGATTAAATGTGTGATATATGAAAATGAATGAAGGGTGTATAATAACATTTGTCTTTTACAGCTAACTCTTACAGTTGATAATCAATTTATTATCTCTTTTCTTTTCTTACACTTTTTCTTTGTCTGCTAGTTACTACTCTTACATGATCTCTATATAATACAGTGTTCAGTGACTAGATTCAGCAGCTTTTATCTTTTTATAATTCTGTCTTATATATTATACTGTCTCTCTTCACTCACTCAGATCACTATAGTGAATAGCTCATTAAAACTAATCTCATCTGATCTCTGAGTGTTCTCAGAAGTTGAGATAATTTGATCTTATATGTCTGTGAATGTTTCAGATGATTCATTCTCTGTTATCTTTATAATTAAACTGATATAAACAGTTAAATTCAACTCTGAATCTCTTTTTCTTCTATGATCTGACTCATGTACAAGTCTACTACTTTGAGACTATCTCTTTCTGTATTGCATTCACTGTCTGTGATGTATTATCATATAACTGGCTACAGTCTTATCACTTATTGAAGTATAATGTTCATCTGATTTCTTCATTTCTTCTCATTCTTTTCTTATAATTGTGAAAAGATCAGAATAAGTGAGATCATCTGATTTATAAGTATCTATGATTTCTCTTACTTTGTAAGGCTTTTCAATTATAAATTTCTTCTTCTTCAACACTGATGAGAGTGCTATAGATAATTATAATTTACTCAAGTCTTACATCTTTATCTTTATAAGATGTGAATCATTTATTAAATTGTGTAAGATCTGTCTCTCTGATTCTTTCAATGCATATGTTCTCAGAGAATGTAATTTGAGTATTTTATAGAGCTTAAATTATCTAGATTGAAACTTCTCAGAGCTCTTATTATATATAAGAACTCACATTCTTATCTTGAGACTCAATTTCTTAACTAGTGAGTCTCATATTCTTTTCAATTGAATTGCTCAGTTCAGAAGTAACTTATTAGCTTTTGCATATGTATAACTGATCTCTTTCAATCTTGATTCTGCATTTGTGACTGTTGCATCTGCAACTGCTACTGCTGCATCTGTAACTGCTATTCTCTTTCTCATCTTTTCTGAAGTATTCTCTGAGATGCATGGATGCAATCCATATAACAGGTAGAATGATGAATACTTGAAGACTGCATACTGTTGAATTCACATGGCTAATAGCACCTGTCTGAGATATTCATTTCATAGTCTCATAGACTTGCTCACTAGATATTTCATCAGCATATTATTCAAGATTTCATTCAAGTGTTTCATCTTCTCATTCATTCATGAATAATATGACATTGTTCTACAATGTCTTGTCTGTAACTGGCTCATGAAATGCCTCATCACTTCTTCTATGAGATTTGTACTGTTATCAGTTAGAATCTTGTGTGATATTCTATAGTTGATATAGATCTCATTATATAGAAACTTTATCATCATCTTCTCTATCATCTCTGAAACTGCTTTCATAACTAGTCAGTCAGTAGTATAATCAATAGCAGTGATTATTCATCAATTTTCATTTGATGTTTATGGCAATATATCTATGAGGTTCATCTCTCATTATTTGAACAGTTGTATTATATACTTTATCTGATGTTATGCTTTCTTGTATTCTAATCCTTTCTTAGATTCTTTTGTGATCTGATAATTCAGGCACTTGTAAGTGTATGTCTGAATATTCTCAGTCATGCTTGATCAGTATACTCTTGATTCAAGTACACTTATGAGTTCAGGACTTTCTAAGTGACTGAATTTCTTATGCATGTGAGTCATCAAGTCACATCTAAATGAATATTCTAGATAGAGAGCTTTTACATATTCTAGATTGCACTAAAGCACAACATTATTTTTTAATTTCCTCAGCTTGAAGTTCAGAAGCATCTCTTCTACTACTTTTATAAAATACTTATCATCTGACATCTTGCTGTTCTTTAAGCAAGAGATCATTGTATTCACTTATTCTGATTCCTTGTACTCTCTCAGCATGTTTAACATGAACTTTTCTTATATCTGATTTACAGAACTCTCATTCATGAAATCAGGTCTGTGACTGATTACATCAGATATCACAGTGTTCAATTTCTTTCAGTATTTAATATGAAGATTGTACACTTAAAACTCTGAGATTCAACATGCTAAGCATTTGAAAGATTTTATCATTGATTATAGATAAATGAGGCTTTCATAATCTGTGATCACTATTGTTATATATCTGTTGTTAATATATCTATTTCATAATATCAGTGCATGCTTGATTACTAGCAATTTCTTTTCATACACTGAGTAATTAAGCTCAGCACTTGATAGTTTTCTATTATCATACATTATCAGATGCAGCTTGCTGTTCTTACTCATCTGTAGAAGAGTGTCTCTGATAGCTCATTCAGATACATTCATCTTAATGTAGAAAGATTTATTACAATCTGATTGAATAAGTACTGAGAATGTTATTATACATTCTCTCAGTGTGAGAAAAGTCTCTTTGCATGTAGTATTTCAGATAATTGAACAAAACTTCTTCTTTCACAGATTTGCATCTATTTCTCTTAAGAGATCTGAGAGTAATGCAGATATTCATATAAAATTCTTGATGAATCTGCAGTAATATGAGATCAACTCAAGAAACTATTATATATAATATATATTTCTCAGCTGTGATCAATTTATTATGACATTTAATTTCTCTGAGATGAGATGTATACAGTTATCACTCACTATATATTCTACAAACTTCAACTCTTTCATTTCAAACACATACTTTGTTAATTTGACATAGAGCTTATACTCTGTCAGAGTTGTAAGCACTTTATCAAGATACTTCAGATATTCATTATATGAGTTTGAAAAGACTAGAATATCATTGAGATATACAAGATATGAGATTTCATTCTGTTTATGAAGAATCATATTCATCATTATTTAAAAGATAGCAGGCATATTTATTAGACTGAATGACATTGTCAGAAATTCAAACTTCTCTCATTATATATTAAATACAGTTCATAGAACTGATAGTTCACTTATACAGATCTGTCAGTATTCTGAGAGAAGATTGATCTTCAATAGATATTGAGTGTTTTCAATCATATTCAACTGTTATTGAATTCATGACAGTGAATATTCATTCTTGATTGTAAGCTTATTAAGTGCTTGATAATTGATACACATTCATCACTTCTTATCTGTCTTTTTCACAAATAGAGCTGAAAAGCTTCACGTGCTTGATAAGAGTTGTATGAGATCACATTCTAGAAGGTCTGTGATCTGACACTTCTGTTCTTTGAGATGCATTTGTGACAGAGAGTATACATTTCAGTTGACTGATTTTGCATTCTCTGTGTCAATCTCATGTACAAATTCTCATTTCAGTGACAATTTCAGTGAAAGATCTGTTCAGAAGATCTTCTTATACTTCTTCAGAAGCTTCTTCATATACTTATTCTTCTGTATATTCTTTATCTTGATTTTCTTCACTTTCAGATTCTGTATGATATACAGAATACTTTCAGATGAGATCTTATAAATTATTCTCTTTACTTATTAATGTATAAGCAGATTTAACTCTTCTATATCAGAGATGTGAAATGTCCTTCTCATATCAGTTGATAGAATTGTATGAACTGTTTTCTTCTTATTAATTAACTGTATATAACATGTACATCATTGAATCTGCAGATTGAATCTTTAAAATTAATTAAGTTTAAGAATAAGATTGTATTTCATGTTCTACAGCTCTCACACTTAAATATAGCAAGATCATTCTCTGAAGTACAAGGGAACTCTTACTCTTACAGATGATATTAAATATCAGTTATTAGATAATCTTATATATTGAGAATTCTTCACTCAGCAGATCTCTTTCAGTCTTCAGATTATATAATTATTAATATATTATATAGAAGCTTCTGTGTCTGCTAACACTTTTACAGTCATCTCTTAATTCTTACTTAAGTGTCTCTTATACATTAATATTTCAGGTCTTAAGATATTGAGATGAGTATCTGCTTCATCATTCTCACTCACATCTCATTCAGAAGTCTGCTTTCTCTTGATATTTACAAAATTCAGAGAGTCATCTAACACAGACATCTCTTTCACTTTAAAGACTTTTTATAGAATATCAGTGAGTGTCTTCAAGCTCACTGATTCTGCTAGTTTTTTAACTCTCTTACTTCTCTTAACTGTACACACTGTGTGTAATCTTTTATATCATGATTTTGATGTCTGCAGTTGAAGTAAGCTCAATACTCACAATACTAAGATTTTCACTCAGAGAATTTCTTTTTCAGAGAATTTAATGCTTTAGCAATGATATTCAGATCTAGATTCATTGCATCTGAGTGTATAACTTGTATTGTAGAAGTCTAATTATCTGTTCTCTGCTAAGATATACTCAATTGCAGTATTTTCTATTACAATTGACTCACTTATTTCTGTATAATGAGAATGTTGTACACTTCTTTCACTGTGTCTGATTATAAGATTAAGCATTTTCATTTCACTCTCAACTCAGATATAAGATCATGAATGAAGATCTGTAAATAGAAAGATGTTGAAAGCTCTTCATTTAATATAAGATAGTATAAGCTGAAGTGTGTGAAGTATAATATAAGATTACTCACTTGTCTACACTCAGTGAA